TGTGCGGATGATCCAAATAGCGCACCGTACGTGGAAACTCCCGGCATCAACGTGCCGCATCCGCGGGAGCAAAAAGATGCCAATGAAAGAAGAAGGTGCACGGCCGGAGCCAATGTTTTTTCTCCCGCTCCAATGGTCACAAGCTCTTACATTAATAGAGGTAGCTGTAGGGGTGATCACCCCTTCACTTCCCAAGGCACCGCGTTTGGAAACGACCTTTTGCTATGGAAGACTATTTAAATAGCATGGATAACTATAAAAACCCCAAAAAAAACAAGAGAAAAAAAACGGAAGCCGCGAGTGTTTCGTCTGGATCAAGACTCCCACGACCTACTGTGTGAGCGTCTACCTTTCACCAAATGAAGGGATTAGCGTATTTCGTCAGAAAATGGCAAGCATAGAAGACAATCTCGGCAAATTTGACTCTCGGCAGAATGGGGCGCCGAATACTCGGACACTAGAGGAAATGACGTGGCAGACTTTGCTGCAAGATTGGACCTTACTGTGTTAAATTCTGGGAGTATTACAACTTTTAGAAGAGCACGATATCAGGAATCTATTCTCGACATTACGTTTGCATAATTTTGACGTGAAGCCAAAGAATCTAGGACTAATAGACGACTACCTCAATGAGAGAAAGTTAATAGTGGAAACGACGGAATGTCATCAAAAACATGAGGTTACAGCTGGTGTACCTCAAGACTCAATCTTAGAAGCCGATTTATGGAACGCTGTCTATGACGAGCTCCTGGAGATTCCCTTGCCGAAACAGGTGGAATTCCGCAGGGCTTTGCGGATGACGTTGCAGGTACAATCGTAGTGGACAGCACTGAGGAGACTGAACTACTCGTTCGTAAGACCGTCGATACCATAGAGACCTGGCTTGAGAAACACCACCTAAAACTCGCCAAACAGAAAACGAAGATGGTTGTCCTGACCCGACATAAATGGTTTTTCAAACCATTCACTGTAGACATAGGAGAGAAAACTTTGCCGTCGACAAGAGCCTTGCGCTTCCTCGAAGTAATGATAGATTAGAAGCTATCCTCCAGTGAACATCTCGATAGTGCATGCATAAAAGCTAGCAAGACGGTATCCAACTTGTCAAGAATTATGGCTAACTGCATGAGACCACGAACCCGAAAACGACGAGTCCTGCTTGAGGTTGTCCTTTCTGTACGGCTATACGGAGCAGAGATATGGGCGGATATCCTCAAGCAAAAAACATATCGGCGCAAAACAGCTTCAGTGCAAAGACGAGGAGCTCTAAGAGTTACCTGTGCCTATCGCACGGTCTCTGAAGCAGCGGTATTGGTAATAGCAAGAGCCATACCAATTGACTTGCTAGCATTCGAGAGAGTGAAACTTCAGCTAAAATAGGTGGCGATAGCTCTGAAAAAACAAATTCAAGAATAAAAAAAGGAACTTTACAAAAGTGGCAAAGTCGGTGGACGTCAGGAGAGACGGCAGATGGGCGGCGCGGCGCGTCTGATTCCGGACATTAGCGTCTGGCTCTCTCGACAATACGGAGACACAGATTTCTTTCTGACCCAGCTACTGACAGGACATGGACAGTTCAATGCCTATCTTTTTAAGATGGGCTTGCATAGCACGCCAATGTGCAAATACTGTCCAGATAAAATCGACGAGGCTGAGCACACGTTCTTTGAATGTGCTCGGTGGAAGGACTATCGTAACAACGCTGAGCACATTATAGGCACCACGCTCACCCCCTCAATCCTTGTTACCTATATGATGAAACAAGCAAAAACTGGTCAACTGTAGCAGCTTATGCACAGCATCTTTTGAAGGTTAAAACCGGAGAAAGGGACCAGTAGACGTAAGCAGCCGTCGTAAGGCGCCGCACGGACTGGATTGATGTAATGCTAACGCGGTTTCAAATCAGTCCTCTCCGTACCATTTGCGGGGAGAGGGGAGAGGAGTGTCTTTTTTAGTGGATAAAAATCTCCACACTTATATCCATCGTTGTCTGCTGTAGGATGGACAGCGGAGTATCAACGATGACGGTGTCTTATGAAGATGTTTGTCGCACCTCTATAAAAAAACACATATACACATACATACATATACATACATACGTACATAAAAAGCTACAAAGTATTAATAAGGTTTACATATATATTATGTAATATATTGGTATCTGCCCGTAAATTTACTGTATT